CGCCAAAGGCATTGTTCGCCTAATTTAACACTTCCAAACTGCACGTCTGTTGCGATTTAACTGAGTCAACTACAATCTGGCAGTGGTGGCAGTCGCTGAGGCGTCCGCTTTGGGGACTTCAAAATAATTGTCAACAGATACATATTTAACTATCTATACAAATAAATACTTTTAAAAATTTGTGCTAAAAACCCCGATTTATCTAACAAAGTTGAGGACATGGTGAGACGAGCTTCAATCCGCAACTAGACAAAAGTCTCGGGAGTACAGAGCCGGCTCTATAGCGTGCTTTATAACAAAAAGCAGTATCACTTTCCCGTATTTAATTCATGTACACGATGTAATGGAGGTCAGGGAGGGGTGGAATAGGTCTGAAAGGCCTCCTAAGCGTTCGTGTGCACATAGTGCCTAGGTAATGAGAACTCCATGAGCACTACTAGCACGTGGCAATTCCGTGTTAACACTCACACGAACGGAGGCGCACCAATATTGTTACCTACTGATTAAACCATTATAATAAGAATGCTGGCACTGCACTTAAAATATTTCACAAGGTTATAATTTCTCATGCTGACTTCTGATAACATCGAGACCATAATATCCTCTGCTAGCGTATTATAATAAGAAAGGCAAAACCATAAACTGTTCTAAAAGATCCGAGAATGACGGGAGAAGATCAAACAGATTGCAAAATATGCTGCTCTATAGCATACACATCAAAAGGAGCAGAAAACAGTCGAATCAGACAATTGACAGGATCTGTTGATTTTTCCAACTCTGTTTGAGCTTATTAAAACTGAAAACGCCATTTCCTCGGGGGCTTCGTAATTTTCTTAGTTATTGCTGTGATTTTCTTCTTCAAATTTGGCCATCTTTCCCTAATTTCGATTAAAAATTTCAATTACGTCTCAGAAAAGAGAGTACCCTCAGTTTAAAATTTGCCACAGTCTTTAGCCGGCTACTTGTGTATATAAAAGGAGACTTTAAAATAATCACCGCCAATAAAGGGTCAGGTAGTGCTCTAAATAGTGCGTAAATGGGACCTTTGTTCCTCTTTCGTCTGAGAAAAATTAGAAAATAAGTGGGGATAACTCAGCGTCAGAAACGAAGAGCAGAATTGTTAAAGCTTAAAACACAACCAAGACAAGCAAAAGCGAATTGAAAAATTCAAACCACACTGAGCATGAAAAGGAATGGCATTGTTACGTCTGTTTACAGTGTCTGTCGCAATAACCTCTGCCAGACTCATGCTGGGGCCACAAATAACCCCAATTACTGGAATTGCTATGCACATTCATTCGGGTAAAACAGAATTGCTTAACACCAGTCATCACTGTTATCCTCTGCACTGTCGTCAATACTTCTTGCTTGCGTGCTGCGAAGCACGACTTTTTCACTTGAAATTTTCGGAACTTGTCTCTATGAGGAAGCGGTAATCCGATAATTAGTGTCGCGCTTTGAAATTCGGCATGGTCACTGTTGATTTGTGGAAACAATAATATATTTTCATGCGAAAAGGGAATTTTTCGTGGCTGGCTAAGTGAAAATATAAACTGTGCCACATTAGCCGCCTACACTTAAATATCTTTATTTTCGTTTACACGTTTCCTGAGTTAGCTCACATATTTCTTGGCTTGCTGTGGACTCAAAATATTCCTAAAACTATCGACCCAGTCTCTGCAGTATTGCAGGACCCCGATTCATGCACATATAATTGTGGATAAAGATTCGAGATCCCGATATTGTGTCGCGTTCATCATCCCCAGAAGAAGATGAAGAAGAAGTGAGTGAGCATTTATGTACCAAGTTATATTTGAATTGACGTTTAGAAACCCTCTTGTTTCCATCACAAGATTAATATTTTGACTGTTCTTACTAACGTTGGTTGCTTCAGCCATGCTACCTGTCTCGTATTATATCCGTGCTCGAGGCACAAACTATGGCCTGGCCGATCGCCTCCGATTAGCGTTGACCTCTCCGCAATTGACCGCCGGTGGGCTCGATTCACTTGTTAACTCTTTGCTGCCATCGTACTTGTTGACGAGTCTGCATTCTTGTCGGCCTCCCCCTTGTCATATAACGGACTGATCAGTTGTTAGCGCTCATGTTCTTAATCTGAAAATCGTGGCCGTCGCGGTGGGGTGGCGTACCATGCTGGCCACATGACCCCGCCTGGCCATTACACTAATTTCCGCTCTCATCGGCTGTCGGCCACGCGTGACTTTGCTCGACTGTCCTGATGGCCTTGTCCGCACTGACTGGAGCCTTGTGTGTAGCGCCTGGTAGGCGGAATGCAGATCTATGGCTGTGTTAATTGTGCCAGTCGGGGACCAAATTCGGGCATCAGTCTGGCCAACTTATCCTTGGCTCGGCCGATTACCCTTCCCTTCTCAAAGGCAAACTTATGGTTCTTATTTTGTACGTGGCCATAAACCATAGACTGCTTGTCCTTACGGTTTATTGCAAGCTGGTGCTCATGCAATCTTTTGCCAAGGCGTTGGACCGTTTCCCCAACATAACTCGCAGCACAGTTCTGGCATTGTATGCTGTAGAGCACCGCTGATTGTTCTGCCAGTGTTAGCGGATCTTTGGGCGTCATTAGTTGCTGTCTGATTTTTGATATGTGAAAAACGTATCAGAGGCGATAGCATGAATTCTGAAGCCGTTCGAGATCAGTAAAATATTAACACTTCTAATAATGATGATATTAATTTATATTCAAGACAAGTAGGTTTCCGTTCATCGCCTGCCACAGACAACAATCAAACAGCAAATAATGAGGCCCAAATACCTTGCTGGTCCAATGTTTAAATTTGAAGTAGGGGCGACGGGGCCCTTGGCACCGGTGTGCGAATTTGCGAAGTGGAGCACTGATACGAAATTTGCAAGTGAGTATACAGTGGAGGTTGTCCTTCTCTACAGCATAGCCTTTGGGAGGCTACAGAATGCGTATTATGGGAATGGTGTTAAAACAACATGAATCGCATTACGTCCAGCTGATTTTTGGAAAGCCGAACACCTCGAAAGCTCGTGGAAAGTGAAATTCGAAACTGATTTGGAACAACGCGTTTCGGAATCATAAAGTATGCCGACGAGTATGCCTGCTGGGGTTTGGAAGGCACGTGCCCAATTTGGATGGATTGGGCTAGTTTGGAATGGTACAGACATGGATAACTAACGCTAAGTTGTTAAAAAAAAGCAATCTGGACGCATTTGTATACCTTTTTGGACAATATATAGATCGCATTGACTATATATCCTGCAGATAACGACGACTCTTTTCTGTTGAGTTTGCGGCTTTATTTTTCATGTGCTTTTGGGCGGTTCAGAAATTTCCACGTTGGTTTCGACAACTGTTCACTAAATAGCTCGGTGCCACTTTTTGACTGCCTATGTTCTAAATATCTGCTCCACTGTCAAAAGTAGATGTGGTCGACAAAACAAAGATCCCCAATCAAAAGTCAGGGAAGACGGCTTGAGTTGGGCAACCTTTACTGCCTGAGGAAGTGCGTACACATGGGCTCTGTAGGCAGTCGCCGCGAATGCACTCCAAGCAAACAGTTGCCTGTGTCTGCCTTTGAGGTGTCGTGTCCCAGCGCGTGTGTGCGTCCTTCGTTGTCTCCGCGTCCGCCAGCCAATCAAAGTGGGGACAGCGTTTATTGCCTTCGAGCACTCGTGAGGCCAGTGACAAGCCTCGGTCGTGCCAGCAGCGTATTGAAAAGGAGTATGAGGCGGACAGGAAAACAGCGTGGCAAAGGCGCAGGACGAGGAGACGCGAACTGCCACAGTACCCCCCGTCTAGGCCGAAGGCGGCGCGTAGCGATGCCGAAGGAACTGTTAATGATAATGATAATTCTATTTAATACCACTTTACAGACATTGTCAAGGAAAGCGTTAAACACTAATCCGACCAGCAGTGAAAAAAACTCCTGTGGTAAAGGAATAAAAATATAGTTGATGGTGGTTTTATGATTTGGGGGATTCAGGAGAAAAAACTGCTGGCGGCGAACATTCGAGCGTCAAGAAGGGGGGGGGGGTTGCACGGTATCGGACATTATCGGACGTCAATTCCTTTCATGAAGTTGGGGATAGTCAAAGTAGAGGCGTTAAGGAACAGCTGTCGCTGTTGGCCAACGAAATTGTCCATGGTGAGACCGGCCATAATGTTCAGAGACCACAAACGCCATCGCTACCGTACAGTCGTTCGGTGGATTCAACATCTAAAATTTTTGGGAGCTTTTCTTAATGCAAAGATCGAGTAATAGTTCTCTTAAATAAAGGATAATTTTGCAGATTTTTCACACGCATGGGTAGTTTATTCCAAATAGCAATTACATTTACAGAATAGAACCGACGATATTTAACAGTACGTGCCAGAGACAGAAATAAGAAGACCTCATGGTGACTGTTACGTCGTGGGTGGATATGATGTCTTAAAGAAGTGAGTGGGTTAAATATGTGATTATATACGAGTTTAAATAGCAAAATTAGTCCCTTTTGTAATCTACGGAACCATAAAGGATCAAGGCCCGTAAGTTGGCAACGTGCTTGGTAAGACAAATGTCGGTGTTCTGGAGGTAAAACTCTCTTGGTAAAAAAAGAGATGAACGGATTCTATTTTCTTCAGCTCAGTAGCACGCATGAGGCTAAATGAAAACGAACAGTATTCCACACCAGGTCTAACGTACATGTTGAAATGGGCGCATTCTAATGTCCCTAGTTTTGAAGTTTCGGTGTCTAATAAACATGAGTAACCAAACGGTCAGGAAAGCGAACATGGCGTCCACTACAGGTGATATATACAGGGGGCAAGGGGTAGAGTGAGTATGGCTCGCGGTTACAGTGTTGTTGGTTGATGAAGGAGTGGTTGCAGTTGTGGATTGCGGACATGGGGGACAAAGGAAGTACACGAGACGGAGGGGTAGAGGGCAAGTAAGGGGAAGGGCAAGGCAGTGAGCAGGGTGAATGAGCAGGGGATAGGGAAGATGGAGGAACAGGGGTTAGGGGTCAGTACATTTTTGTCCTAGTGACCGGTCCGGCGGCTCCTCTGCAACAATAGCCTTGACCCGATCGGCACTGACCACGTCCTTCTTGTGACTGCGAAGAATCCGGAAGGTCTTGGTGTTGCGCGCGAACACTCGGAACGGTCCTTTGTATAGTGATTCCATCGGTTGGCGCTTACGGTCACACCGGACGAACACATGAGTACACTTGTCCAAGTCTTTTTCGATATAAGACTCAGTCGTTGGAGTTCGAGGTGGAACCGGGGAAAGCGATCGCACAAACTGCCGACAACGGTGCAGAATGTTGTCAGGAGCCTCGTCGACCCCGCGAGAGGTTGGGGTGATCATCTCGCCAGACAGTCGGAGGGTAGTGCCGAAAACCAATTCAGCTGCGCTACAGCCCAGATCCGACTTCAGAGCTGCGCGGATGCCGAGGAGCGCAAGAGGATGGTTGTCCCACCAGTTTCCTGGGTCTTCTACGCCACGCAGGGCGGTCTTTAGCTGGCGATGGAAACGCTCAACCATACCGTTGGCAGCTGGATGGTAGGCTGTCGTCCGAATACGTGTGCAGCCAAGGAAATTGAGTAGCGTTTGGAAGAGTTCCGACTCAAACTGGGCACCACGATCAGTCGTAACCGTGGATGGGGCACCTAACATGGCGATCCAACGACTGACGAAGGCATTCACGATGGTTCCAGCCTGCACATTCGGCAAATGAATAGCATCAGCCCAGCGGGTACATCGATCGACACAGGTAAGGAGGTGGGTGAAACCATAGGATAGAGGATAGGGGCCTACGACATCCACGTGCACATGGCTGAACCGTGCGTCTTGACTGGGGAAAGTGACTGGTGGGGACTTGTTGTGACGCTGCACGTTGTTGCGCTGGCAGCTCAGACACGACCGAGCCCAAGCTTTGACGTCCTTGTTCATGCCAGGCCAGACAAACCTTTCCGAGAGGAGCTTTTGAGAGACTTGGATCCCATGGTGGGAGAGTCAATGCTGAGTTTGAAATACGACTCGAGGTATCGAGGCGGGCACGAAAGGGCGATGAAAGGGAATTGAGACGGCACAAAGTATGGTACCAGAGCCGGTGGTCAGAGGAACGTCTTTGAGTTGGAGACCACTAACAGACTCGTCACCAGGACAACCGACTCGCTGTTGCTCAGCTGCCATGGCGCAAAGATCGATCCCATGAGAGAGTTGGAGGGAAAACAGTGAGGGTCTGGACAGCATATCAGCCACCTCATTCTTCGTACCATCAATTTGGAGGATGTCGGTGGTGAATTGGGAGATGTAGTCCAGGTGGGCGATTTCCCTCGGATTGTACTTGTCGGAGTGGGAACGAAGTGCAAAAGTCAACGGTTTGTGGTCAGTGAAAACAGTGAAGTCACGACCTTCAAAGAAATGCCGAAAATGCTTCACAGCCAGGCAAATGGCAAGTAGTTCAAGGCCAAAGGTACTGTAACGTGTCTCAGCTGGTAAGAGCTTTTTGGAGAAAAAGGCAAGTGCTCGAGTCGAACCAGCAAGGTGTTGTTGAAGGACTGCACTTACGGTTACGGTCGAAACATCTACCATCAGAGACAGCTGAGCTTCGGAAGCGGGATGCGTGTGTAAGGTGGCGTCGGCAAGGGAATTCTTGATTCTCTCAAAAGCAGTCAGTGCTTCACCAGTCAGCTCGAGGGGACCTTTGGGACCAGAAAGCATGTTGGTGAGCGGTAACATGAGGTCAGCACAGTTCGGTAGGAACCGGCGGTAAAAATTGACCATGCGGAGGAATCGCTGAAACTGACGCTTTAAAGTTGGAGGAGTAAAATTACGAACTGCTTCAACATTAGAGAAGAGGGGACGAAAACCTTCAGAGTCGACCTGATGGCCGACGAACTCGAGCGAAGGCCCAACCAACACGCACTTGGAGGGGTTGATGACAACGCCAAACTTGTCGAGGCGGTCAAACTCCAAGGCAAGATGCTCTTTGTCTTCTTCCTCATTCCGGCTGGCCACCAAGAGGTCATAAATGTAGGCGTACACAAAGGGTAGGCCACGTAAGACATGGTCGATGAACCTCTGGAACGTTTGGGCGGCATTACGAAGACCGAACGGCATGCAGATTAACTCGAAGAGACCGAAGGGTGTGGTGGCGGCAGTTTTAGGGATGTCCTCAGGAGCGACTGGAATCTGATGAAAAGCATTCACCAGATCAATCTTCAAGAAAATCGCTTTGCCAAAAAAGCTCCAGCAATGTACTGAAGATGAGGCACTGTGTTCCGATCAGGAATGGTAGCGCTGTTGAGGGCTCCATAGTCGTCACAGGGTCGCCAGTCGCCTAAGGTCGCCTTGGGCATCATGTGCAGTGGAGACGCCCAAGGGCTCTCGGACGGTCGAATTATTCCCAGTTGCAGCATGTGTTCAGACTCCGCCTTCGCGGTGTGAAAACGCTAGGGTGCTAGTCGTCTCGGGCGAGCAAAGACGGGAGGACCTGAGGCGCGGATATGGTGCACAACATCATGTTGAACCTTACAACTGCGAAACTGGGGTTTAATTATGTTGGGGTGACTAAAAAGCAGTTGCCGGAAGGGGCTAGCAATATCCGTATCCAAGACAGATAAGTTGGTGGGGCAGTAAAGGGAGTTAGTCCACGAACAAGCAGACAGGTTATGCGGTCGCGGAGACGGGCACGTCAGCAGTCAACAAGGAGATCGAACTCGGCACGAAAGTCCGAGCCGAGGATTGCGTGAGAGACATCAGCAATCACAAAGATCCAAGTGAATGATCGACGAAGGCTAATGTTCAGGGTGAGGGACAGACTGGCACAAGTGGGAATATGGGAACAGTTAGCAGCTTGGTAGTGAAGACCAGGGCTAGGCAAACGACGATCATACACTACCACTGAATTTTATTTCAAAATCGCAGTTTACTAAATTTGGCTGTCACGTCCGAATTGCTTCCCAACCCTTGACGCACACTTTCCATTGTATACCGTCCACAGGCATCATTTTGCAAGCATAATTTAGGCGATCGCTGAATAGGTATGATGAGGACGTAGTTCACGAGCAAAACCGATAAATATCTTTTTCGCCACGCCATGACGAATTTGACTGCGTTTGTCCGAAATCTGATTCCGAAGTGTACAAATCTGGTTTTATTATGCTCGCTTATCACCGTAACATACCATATTATTTTAGAGACAGAGAGAGAGAGAGGAATGCGCTTTATTTTGAAATCATATGTTCAAAATTTTCAGCAAAAAGTTGGCCGCAGGTTATTTCGCAAACTGTTTGTTGGTCACTTTAGTTATAATTTTGCTCTAGTTAATTGAAATGAAAGTAACGTACGAGATAGTATCAACGCAATTTTTAAATTTCCTAATTTAAATGTGTTGAATGATTACCAGTCGTTTGTTTAGTTTTACTGAATTTCGCATGTCATGTAGGTCAAATAATTGTGGTTCGTTCGTGTTTTTGACCTTGACAATGCGTATTTTGTCGTCAACGTGTTGGTAATATTTCCTTCTGACTTGACTGAAAATATAGATTCATGTATAGTTTTTGTTTATTTTTTGTTCGGTTCTTTGCTGAACCGTATTTGTAAGTCTGTTCTTGAGCAAGGATTAACCAAAATCTAAATAAATAAGATAAACCTTATTTAAATAAGGTTTATCTTTTTTTAGATTTTGGTTACTCCTTGCTCAAGAACAGACTTACAAGTACGGTTTTTAGTAATTAATCAAAATCCAAATAATTATTTGGATTTTGATTAATTACTAAAAACAACTTATAGAAAGCGTCTATTAGACTTAATTTCGCTCGAATATACAAGGGAACCTAATTTATTTTTAATATAGCCTTCTCGGTTGCGTTATGCATTTGATAACACTTATGTTGGTTAGAATTTTAACCAATTTTAAATTGGGCAACTTAATTGTCATATGACTGTGCTGTTGCATCCAACAGTGTAGACTACCTTTCATGCTAAATATCTTCCGTCAGTTTTATCTTGACACAAAACGGACTTATTATTAATTCAACTCTTTAAAGGTCTTTGAACTCTTTACCTTTCTGACGTTCAGTTGTTTGCTATGTAATAATCTCTGGCCAGGGATGTCTCAGTTTAATGCTACCCTTCGCTACTGTTTGTTTTCTGCAAAGGTTTCGACCTAAGCATATTTCCCATTTGTGAAAAGTATCTAGATAATCTGACGTAATCGCGAATTTCATTTGAGATCTTTAACGATGTGCCAATTGGCACACCCGCTGATTTATTCGTTCGCTTAATGTGAGATTTTGACGTTGAATTATGTCAAATATCTTAAGTTTTTGTGTATTCTGCTACAGTTGACCTGCCCAGTGAACTTAAAAGCTGTTACCCAAATTGCTTTTCATTTGTGATTTAAACTATGCTTTCATAACTTGTGCTTAATATTGAGGATTGTTAAAACTGGTAGATGTTCCCTCACCAATCAAATGCAATGGGGCAGTGAGACCGTATGTCGATGGTAAGTGTGTTGGACCTCTCTCCAACTAGTCGTGGGTTCGATCCGCGGGGGTTGTAAACCCCAGCCTGGGTTTGTCTAACAGTGGCAGCCAGTATTCCAAAATTGGTCATTTTAGTCTCTTTTGCCTTTATGACAATGTCTCTGATATATTCCTCCAAATGGTCCATGTGTCGAAAGCTCTTTTTTGGGAATTATGAGTAGTGTTAAAAGAAAAATAAGTATTTATTTTAAACTAAACGAACTTAAAGAGCCTGAAAAGATGTCAACATTTTAACATAAGTTAAATACATTCCATTGCTATGCTAACGCTTTTCTAGACACTTCAAGCAATGGACATCTCGTCAATCTCAACGCAAGAGACATCAACTGAGCCCTCCGCAGAGATGAGTCAGGCAAATATTGGGACAAGTGAGTCTTATTATAAAAGTTTGCCCTTAACTGAAGAAATCTGATGGATTAACATTTATCACACAAGCAGGTCTTCAAGTTTGTACTCCTTAAAACCTTCCATTAATGCTTTTCATTGTTTTCTCCATTTGAAAATTGCTTCGTCTTGCACTCCTTTGTAAGAAAATTTATTTTGTAAAATCTTAAAGGAAAATGAACTTAACGGCGAAGTGATCTGCCTTTCGAAATAAATAAATCGGCAGTATTTGAAAGGTTTGTATTTTCTAGCCTATGTAGAACTGCCCTTTTAATGTAACAGTTTAATTTTTCCTAGTCAAAATTTTTCCTAACGTTGTCTTTATGCGGGTTTTAATCTTGTGTAAATGAACCCAAACCAACGCAACTGTCGCTTACCTAAACATTTTTTTCGGAAGATAGCCTTTTGCGTTTTATTTGTTTGACAATAATAGCTAGAGTGATCAGAGTTTGTGATCTGGAATGTGATCCCAGTTACATACCTGACAACGCGTAGACGTCTGATCGCACATTTTTACAGCAATCTGTATAGGGCCTACTCTTAAAAAACGCTACTCATATACTACGTATTTTTCACAAATTTAGCTGATTGAAAACAACCAACCACATTTTTTCGAGCAGTTTAATTTTATATAGGTTTTGGTTTTCCTATAAAAAAACGTCTGCCTCCATAAATAATTGTTTTACCAATGAGATAGTCTTATATTTTGAGAAAAAGTCACAATAACTCAGTGAGCATTAAGGCAAAGCTGTAATTACGCAGACACCCTCGAAATTATCTTTGGTTTCAGGCCTTAGAAGCCAAAAACAATTTTGTTTTAACCGCAAAGTGACAAAAAACGCAAAATTCTAAAAATGAGTTACAAATCTAATTTACAAACCACTTTCTGGGACATGTTAATAAAAGGACCAAGACCTCAAATATAAGAAAGCTGAAAGTTCGTTATTAAATTGACGAATTGCTCCTTGATCAAGATTTTTACAGATGACAGGAAATATTCCTCATCAAAACGTGGTATGTCACAATGCATTATATTCCTTAAGATGATGTTTAATGTTCATTAGTCTCGTAAACTGATTCTGATAGTCTTTTCGATCTAAAGACATGTTTATCATCTTAGAACGCCTTGTGATGCTTTTGGTCTCTATAGTTTTAAAGCATGTACTCATGCATCCACGTTGTTTTTACTGTCAGTAAACTCGCAGTTTCGTACAGCTTACTTTTTATGTAGCTGAAATGAATGTGATTTGTCTTGTTGCTCATTGCCAACTTTCAACACATGGGCAATACACGTTACATGTTACATACTCATGCCGACGTCCCAACCATATACTGAGTGTAATAAAATTGAGAACAGTAATACTAAGGCTTCCCAAAGTAAACGATTACATCTTCCGCGGGGAGTGGTTGAATGTAGCATGCTTTGCCCGTTGACCCTAACGGTAGTTCGGTTTAAATGGAATTAAGTAATATTCGCTGCTTGAAGTTTTAATGTGCATTAATTCCTCCGCATCCCCTAAACCTAAACCTCATGATGCTCAAAGGTTGAGGCGTAAAGTCGCATAGAAATACTGACGCATTTCTTGGCGCCGATGCGATTACAACACCCATAGTTATCAACGGAAATTCTTCGAGCGCAGTCCCTAGTGTAGTTTACTTTACCGTGCTGACATCATATGAACGATGCTAGACGAGTCAGAGGAATGAATTCTTTCCCTGACGTTCATGTCAGCAGACTAACAAATGCAGGCTTAACAAACAAAGATAACGCACATATTATAACTCTTCAGTTCTTACGGCAACGACCTGCTAGACCGCATAAAAAGCTGCAAGAGGACACAAAACACTGTAGCGCACCAAAACAAAAGCCAACGAAATCCACCATATGGGTTATGAAATTAAGCAAAAACGAACTATCCGGTGATTTCACCGCCTGATTCCTAAGGCTTCTCTGAAGGCAATCAACGGAAGACGGTAATGAAACAGGACCCAGGGTATAGCCTGAATTCTTTTACGTCAAAGATGTCTTCAGGGCTACAACTCCTGTAATTAGAGACTTGGATATTGGTATGCACAACGACTGGGGACCACTATGCTCAGCCATGTAATCTGTGTCAAGGGATCCAGGAAGCAGCTTTGTGTCCTCTATCGTATTTCGCACAAACCTGCAGGACAAAGTGGGCAATT